TGAGTGTAATCCAGAGACTCAAGCTCTTTTGAAAGAGATTATTTTTATTCTGTTGGTGATAAGATCGTGCCTGGGTATTATGATGGTATAAAAAGACCAAAGATAATAGTTTTTATTAGTTATTAGTTTTTTTTTTCTATATTATAAACTTATCTTTTTGTTTAATTTTAGATGACAGTTTCTATTTTGTCTGGTGTAAGTATCCTCAGCAAAGTTAAAAGTTTGAATAAATATCTATTAATAGTAGAAGTTACTCAAAAATTAACACAGATTTTAAGAAATAATGATAATATTATTTTTAAAGTGTTAATAAATGATTATGTTAGGCAAGAACTTAGTTTTTTTGTTAAAATTGTCTTTCCACATCTTAATCTGCAATTTATTAATTTGAAGAATACAACTCAGCTACAAAGTTTACTTATTTTCATTATCAGGCAGATGGAAGTTATCGCCAATGATTTTTTTTTTATGCAAAGAAGATTAACTATATTAATACACATTTTCCTTCTAAGTCAAATGCTGATAATTCTGATTTGAGTAATTTGTCTAAAGGTATTAATTCAATCCAGACAAAGCTTCTTTCTACTTATCAGAATATTGTTGAAGATTCAAAAAATACTTCTGAAGCTAAAGTTTCACAATCAATTGTATCAAATAACATGGTTAATAAATTTTAATCTGATTCTTCTTTGTTGGATATGGATTTTTCTTCTAAGTGTGTAAAGATTGAGGATTCTAATAAGATTTTTGATAATATTGAATACCATCATTTTCAATCGGATGGAACCTTGGATGTTGAAGATGTTAGGAGAGATGAGACTAGTGTTCCAAATCATATTAAAAATCCTGGTTAATCCGGGATTGATCTGAATCTGATCCAAATCCAAAATTCTGATTGATACAGAAACAATCCGGGACCAATCCAACAGTTAATCCAGGGTTGAACCAAAATAAACTGAAACGAATTCGAAATTCAGATTAATCTGTGCAATCTGACAGTTTATCCAAAATTTTTATGTATGCATAATAATAATTATAGGCATAAAGCCTGACATATTTTAAAATTTTATACTTATGGACGTATGTGTACTTTATTTGAAACCTTAAATTGAGTCTTTATTGATTGTTTTTAATTGTGTATCCAATGTACAGAATCTAAATT